CAGCTGGTTAAGCGTGCGCCTTCGTCTTGGGTCATGATCCCAGGGGCCTGGGATGGAGCCCCGCACTGGGCTCCCTGCTGGGCGGGAAGCCTGCTTCTTCCTTTCCCTCTGCCTGCTGCTCCCCCTGCTTGTGATCTTTCTCTCTCTCTCTCTCTGTCAAATAAATAAATAAAGTCTTTTAAAAAAAAATCAACAACAGAAAGAAATTTGGGCAGTCCTTGAATATTTAAAAATTGAACAACACATTAATAAATAGCCTATAGATCAAAGAAGAAATCACAAGGGAACTTAGAAAATTTTTTGAATCGAATGAACATGAAAGCACAACAGATCAAAATATATCAGATATAGCTAAGGCTATAGTGGGAAATTTATAGCTTTAAATCCATAAGAAGGAAAAAAAATCAGTAAATTAGAATTCATTGAAATTTAAAAATTTGCACTACAAAAGACATCATTAAAAATGAAAAGATAAGCCACAAACTGGGAAAAATATTTACCAATCATATATATGATAAGAGGCTTGTATCCAAAGTATATAAAGAATTCTTGGGGCACCTGGGTGGCTCAGTCAGTTCAGTGACCCACTCATGGTTTCAGCTCAGGTCATGACCTCAGGATCATGCCATTGAGCCTGGAGCCAGGCTTCTTGCTCAGCGGGGAGTCTGCTTGAGATTCTCTCCCTCCCTCTCTGCCCCTCCTCCTGCTCATTTGCTGTCTAGGTAAGTAACTAACTAACTAACTAACTAAATAAATAAAATATTTTTTACAATAAATAAAAATTTAAAAGACAATACCAAGTATTATCAAGGATGCAGATAAATTAAGACCCTTGTGCATTGCTGGTGGGAATGTAAAATGCTAGACCCACTTTGGCAAAAGGTTTGATAGCATCCTAAAAAAATTAGACACAAATATACCATAGGATGCAGCAATTCACTTCTTAGGAATCCACCCAAGATGGAGCAGGCTAGGCTGCAACCAGTAGTCCAGACAGACTGAGAGGTGATCTGCCTTGAGGAGCAGGGGGCTGGTTTTTGGAGTGGAGGCTTGGAGCTGAAATGAGAATTTCAGTAGGATCACTGAGAAGACAGTAGAAGAGTCACTCCTTCGCTCTACTCTAGGACTGGGAGCTCTATGAAGTGGCAGTCTTCCCCTTTCAGTAGAGACACTGGGGACACTCATATGGCCCTTCCAGCTTTGGGAGAACACCAGGCAGCGTGGCCCAGAGAAGGGTAGAATTCACCCTGAGGAGCCCTGAGGGCTGGTGAGCCCCAGAGCAGGCTTGCTGAGGCTTGGCCTGAGAAGCAGCCTCCCAGAAATATCTGAGGGGAAGAGAATCTCAGGAGTTATGTAAAACCTTGATGTTAAATTGTTGATGTATCCTTCAGGATACCCAAAGTTGGACAAGGCTTAGGGATAAAGGGGGTAGAGGAAGATGTGGCCTTCAGCCTCTCCTTTGGCCAATACATATGGGACTCAGTTTCCTTCCGTTCTAGACTGGCTTCAAAACTGGTTTCTTCTAAGAAATTTTCCCTGATGATTCTCCCCTCTCAAATGCCTCTTCTATTCCTATCTCCTTAGCACCACTAGTTATTTATGGGATGTGGAAAACTATCTTATATTTATTAATATTTTTATTCATTTGAAAAGATGTCACCTGGGCACCCAGGTGGCTCAGTCAGTTAAGCATCTTCCTTCGGGCTGTGTCCTGATCTCAGCGCTCCCTGATCAGCGGGGAGTCTGCTTCCCCCTCTCCCTCTGCCCCTCCCCCGCCAACCCATGTGCCTGCCCATGTTCTCTCTCTCTCAAGTAATTAACATCTTAAAAAAAAAAAAAGAAAAGAAGATGCCACCAATATCTAATTAAGTTGGTCCTTCCCAGGCCTGTTATCCTGTGTGCAAATTCTCAGCATGCACCACGCTGTAGCAACACAGCCCAGGGAGAAAGAGAGTATGGGCTCCATTGCTGGTCTCTGGATAGGAGGCGTGGGCATCACCTCACAGTCACCGACACCTTGTAACTCTAGGTTTCACAATGTCCTTCGAGTGCCACTCACTGAGTTATTTTTCTATTTTTTCTACTTTCTTTCATCTCTGTGTGGGAGTTATTGCATCTCGGAAGAACAGGAAATAGGGGAGAAAATGACTCAGGTGCCATATGGACTTGAGCAGCTTCATCCTACATGTTCAGATGTGAGTATCTCTGGAAGGTATTCCTGTCCTCACAACTGTCCCTCCAACCCAGAATTCCAGCAGCAGCAGAAACTGTAGGGATATTTGTTCCTCCAGTTAAATTTCTCTAGGTAGCATCCAGAAAAATGTAATCTTCCTCAGGAACAGAGCTCTGTGAGGACAGGGACTTCGTCTTGTGCCCTCTATGCCTTGAACATGGTGTGCAACGAGGACTTGTTAAATGCAGGTTTTCTGGGGGTAGAAGTGTGTGAGTGGCATCTTCTTCAGAGAGGGGTGTCAAAAGGCTCTGTGGAAGAGGAACGCAGTCCTACCCCCCAAGTGCTATGAGCAACCAAGACCTTGGTCCAAAGAAATGGCCAGTCTTATTTTATTCAGCACAACTGTGAGACTGAAAATGCTAGCTAATTAAAGGTTTTGATTAATAGGGACTTTATGATCCATCTGGTATATGGTTCGTCAGTTTTGGAAGGGTTAATACAAACTCAACGTTAAAACTCCATCTAACACACTTCTGTTTGACCTTGATAATAATCAGGGCACTTCAAAGACTCTGACTGAAGTAGTGTGGTAAATGTGGCAAGAAAGTTACAATGGAAAGACTTAATAAAAGGCTATGACTTTGAAACTGAGGATGTTGGTTTCAATGAGCCATTACAATCTTTGATACATGGGTAGATGTGAGGAATGCTGTGTTTTAGGAAGATTAATTTGGTAATGATGTTCAGGGAAGACTGGAGAGGTAAAGGGGCTAAAGTAAGAAGAGCAGCTAGAAGACAGGTGCGAAACCCAAAGCATGAAGTGCTTGTGGTAACATTAGAGATGATGGGAGAAAAAGAATTTTGAGTTGTTTTCCTGTCCAAGTATAGGACACAAAGAGCAGAGAGAGGGGAAAGGGTAGTAGAGGATTCTGAAGCTTGTTTCTGAGGAGTATGACCCTTAGCCCCATGTAAGAAAGATCCTTGCTTTAGAGGCTCCCAGTCTGACCCACTCTAGCCATGTCCTTCCCTATGGATAAGATGTTTGGGAGGGCAAAGGGATATGCGCCCCCCCCTCCTTTCTAGACTATGCTAGGTACCCGAGAACCAGAATTCACCATCCAAATAGCCCAGCTCTTTTTCCTGAGCCTGCTCTAGCTTCTTCCCAGGGTCTATTCTTCCACACACAATGACATTGCTGGTGTGCACACCCCTAGGTCTGGGCAGAGACCAAACTGCAGCTGTTTGTGGGAGGTGCCGGGTGAGCAGATGGAGCTTGAATTTCCTGGCTGTACTGTCCCCGTGCACATATGCATGGCCCCTCATGCTGCAGGATGGAGTCAAGGAAGGGAAGAAACAGGGGCCGGCCATGGGTAGAGGCCAGGGCCATCTCCTCCAGTATTTCCAGTTTCTGGCATTGAATGTCTAGGAATATGAGAATTCTAAAAATTCTGGCCTTCGAGGTCATCCTTATCATTATATATTTGCAAGGTGGGAAATAGACACTTTATCTAGCAGCTTATGGGCATGGTTTATAACTTTAAAATATTTAGGCATACGGTAGACATTTAGACATATGGTTTCCATTTGTACTCCTGTCCTGCAACTATTAGATGTGGCCTTGCTTTTTGGCTCAACATATTCCTTATTTAGTGTCTTCCTATGACTCTTCTCCCAATCTTCTCTTGGGCTGAGAGCTTACCTATTGGATTGTCCCTTAAAATATCCAGCTCACTTCTTTTGTTAATTGGCTTGTCAATTTTTTGAATTATTCATTTATAACTCTTCATGTGTCCTAAATATGGGTCCTCTGTCAGATACGTATGTACACACACACACACTCACACACACACACACACACACCAGGCATCATATCCCATTCTGTGGCTTTCCTTTTCCTTCTCTGGATAGTGTCTTTTGATAAATAAGAGTTCTTATTTTTAAGAACTACTAATTCACCAGTTTTTTTCCTTTATTCCTGAAGACTTGTGTCCTCTTTAAGATCTTCACCTAGTGTAAGATCATAAAGATTTTCTCTCGTGTTTTCTTTTAAAAGTCTTATTGCTTTACTTTCATATTTGGATGCATCAGCTCACAATGAATCTGCAACTGATTTTGTGTGTGATAGAAGTCAAAATAACTTTTGTTTTCCAAATGTACATCTACTGAGCCAACTTCATTTATTGAAAAGTCCGTCCTTTTCCCCACTGATCTGCAACGTCACCTTTGTTATGAACCAAGTGACTATATCAATCGACAGATATCTTTCCTTTGGTCTATTTGTCTCTCCTGTGCCCAAACCATACTTTCTTAATTACTGTAGCTTTGTATTTGAATACTATAACTTTTATAGGTCTTGATTTCTGGTAGTGTTAAGTTTTCCAACTTTCTTCTTCAAGATTGCTTTTGTTATTCTTCGACCTTCGCATTTCTGCATAAATTTTAGAATTGCCTTGTCCATTTCCATTCCGCAGACGTGGGACTGCGAGTTGGAACGTTTCATTTTTATCCACAAATTGTCCCTTTGGAACAGCGGGGGTGGAAGAGCCGCAGCGTGCCGCGCAGAAGAGGGGGGTGGGGGATCCTCCGCTGGCACCGCCCCCTGACTGGGACCGGGGACTCGGGGACACGCCCAGTCTCCCTCGGTCGCACACTGCCAACGCTGCGTCAAAGCCGCGCTCGTCCCGGCCGGCCTCCAGCCACCGGGAACCCCCGCCAGGGCCCAGGACGCGCTGCGGAGCCACTGCGAAGAGCCCCCCCCACCCCAGCCCGCGCCGGGCGGGGGCGGCCGCGCAGCATCACGGGGCGGAGGCGGGGCCGCGCCGGGAGTTGAAGGAGGGGGAGGGGGCGCGGCCTCCGGGCTGACGCGCGGGCGCCGGGGCGCGGCGCCACCGGGACCCTAGTGGCTCAGGGAGCCGGGCGGCGACGGGCGCCCGGGCGGGTTCCGCGCTGAGCCGCCACCTCGGCCGGCTGGTCCCTGCGGCGGCGGCCCGGGCGGCCCGGGGGCTCGGCCCTTCGCCATGTACACCTTCGTGGTGCGCGACGAGAACAGCAGCGTCTACGCCGAGGTCTCGCGGCTGCTGCTCGCCACCGGCCACTGGAAGAGGCTGAGGCGCGACAACCCCAGGTTCAACCTGATGCTGGGCGAGAGGAACCGGCTGCCCTTCGGGAGACTGGGTGAGCCCTTCCCCGTCCCCGCCCTCCCGCTCCTCCCACGACCCGTTAGCACCCGCGCTTTTGTCTTAAGGTCATCAGTCTTCCTCTCCGTCGTTCCTCGGGCGGAGGGAAAATGGATCCGTAAAGGTCTAAACCCACCGCTTTGCATGCCTTCTCGTCCGGTAAGTCGGATTCCGCCGCGGCTGCCGGACAATGGCAGGTCCCTGCAACCCGGCGGGCGTCGGCCGCGCGCCCCGCACTGCCCCGGCCAGACGCCCCCAAATCGCACGGGGCTGAGCTGGGGCGGGGCCAGGCCCCGCCAAGCTGCCGCACGACCTCGGGCTCGAGTCCTCTTGCGAATTTTCTGCACTGAGGATTCCACCCTGCCTGATGCTGGCGCGGGAGGGATCCTTGTGTGTGCTGAAAACCCTGAGGACTCAGCTCCCCGAAGGCTCAGGTGAACCGGGGATTTGGAAAAGACCTCTGGATTCCAAAAGCAGGAGCTGCAGAGATGAGCCAAGCCAGGGAAGGGCCGGAGGGTGTCTGACTTCGGCCTTTCCTTAGTGTTTCCACAGCTGTGTGTTGAATGCAGATTTTACAGGACGCGGGCTTCCCCCTGCGTCCTACTTCTCTGACCTGCTCATCCCGAGGGAGTAACCTTCACTCATATGGTTGATGCTGGCTTGACATCATATCTACATCCATATCCGCATCCTCGCGTGTTGGGAGGGGCCGGGGACAGGAGAGGAGGAGAGGACCAGCAGCACCTTTCTAGATGACGTAATCCAGAAGTTGTGCAGATCACTTCAACTTACATCCCATTGACCTGAACGGTCTCGTGGCTTCTCCTCACCGCGCAGTCATCCCGGAGATGCAGCCTCTCCCACAGTAGCCATCCATGTTCCTTGCCAAAATTCTCCTGGGGTGGGGACCAATCAGTAACGAGGAAAAGTCATTTCTGCCTTGGAGGCAGCCCAGAGAGAGCCGTGTTCAATGTCCAGCAGAGGACACAGTTTTTAGAAATAGGTGTGGTCAGAGGGTGGAGAGGTTGAATGGGCAGACTGAAAGCTGGCCACTGGTGAGCTTCCATAGAGCCTTTGGGTGGGGGGTGGCTTGTACAGTTGTAGTGATTTCAGGAATGAAGGGTGTTTAGCATAGCCTTATGGACATTTTTTCCTTTGCAATGGTACCATGGACAACTTTTTATTGTTCTAGAAATGTAAGATGTATGTATGAGGAGGACTCCATGGAGGGGCTAATTTCAACCCCCAGAAATTTGGGACCACAGGGAATGTGCCTGCAGATTGTTAACCTGTCTCTCCAGGAAGCCCTTAGCAAAGAGAATACCTTCCCTGAAAGAAGAACTACTGACACTTGAGAACATATATTTCCTTCTTGCTCTTGCATTTCCCTGCCTGACCGACTGACTTTCCCCTGCCGGGGCCGAAGCAGGGACGTGGTTGGCATTGCTATGGTGCTCAGGACTAGGGAGGAAGGAGCAGAAACTCACAGGGCCCAAATCCTAAACAAGTACCACAGAGTCGACAGACGATAAATATTTGTTTTTTATGGAAAAGAAAACAGCATCCCTCAGCCATCTGGTTATATGTCTTCACTGTTAGGGATATTTAGTTTTTGCTTAAAGTGTGAAACCCAAGGAGGGAGCTTATAGAGCCAGGTAAAGTCTCGGGAAGGTTGGTACCCTGGAGATGAGAAGGTAGACAGCTGAGGTATAAGCCAGGTTCTTCTGCCCCAGAGAGACAGTGAGAGCTAGTTAGTGCCTAAATCTTTTAATTTAAATTGTATGCTGTTCTCAGATGTATTCTTCTTATCTCTGGCATCTTCTACTCTCCCTTTGTTTGGTTTTACTTTTATTTTTGTTGCTGGAAATTCAATGCATTTTGTTAGGATTTTACACAAAAATGGAGGCCTTTGTGTTTGTATCCTTTCTGCTCTATTTTAGAGAGGAGGGGACAGTCCAATAAGATTTACCAAAGATGAGTTTCTCTGTGGAGGATACTCAGAAGGTGGTCCTCAGGGCTTCTGATTTTATAGACATGGCTTCTCCATGACCGTCGTTCGCCTCTTATGGTTCTCCTAAAAGCTTGCAGAGGTAGACGTGCTTGAGAAAAGCAACAGCATAGTTCTACTGCCTGCCCTGATGGCTGTAGAAAAGCAAGGTTGGGGTGTCAGAGCATGACTGTTACAGTTGTATTGTACAAAGATTATTAAATCCTTCTGTGTTAAGCCAAGAGTGGGGTGTGGTAGGGATCAAAGAGAGGTGAAATGGAAAATGCCCTTCTACCCTAAGGAGAGAAAACAAAAGCAGCAACTGTCTTTGGCAGAGCTAGGACGTTGTTACCTTAATGCCCACTGTGGGGCCGGGGAGGGTTTCCAGGGCCGTGCTGTGGAAGGGGAGTACACGTGCAGGGCAATGGAACAGTTCCATTTCCACCAACCAGTCCTGAAATGGAAGAAAGAAAAACCGGGCATGACACAGCTGTTCTCTCTCCTACATGCTGGTGCTGACATGGTCATTTCCCACCTGTCCTCTTTCCCTTCTGAACCTCCTCTTTCCTTTATAGGTCACGAGCCTGGGCTGATGCAGTTGGTGAATTACTACAGAGGGGCTGACAAACTGTGTCGCAAAGCTTCTTTAGTGAAGTAAGTGTTTAAGATCCTTTCAATGCAATACATAAATGTTTTTCGTTTTCATCCTGAGGCACTTAAACAAAAATGTGAGGTTTTGTTTTTTTTTTAAGAGGGTAAAAATAACTTTAATCTAAAAAGCCAAAAGTATTAGTTCTGGAGCATCCTCTGTGCTACTTTGATTGCAGTTTTAAACTTTGCTCTTTGTGCTTGATAAAGCCTGTCTGTCTCCTAGGAGGCTCCCTAGAAGCAGAGGGGAAACCAGGTTTCTTGTGTGGGCGATTGATGGGGCGGGGGAAGAGGTGGAGGCTCCTGGGAGAAATTCACTTGGAAGCAAACGGGGGCCAGACAGCAGAAGGAGAAGCCAAGCAAAGATGTGGTTTCAACAGAAGTCTCTCCTCAGCTTGACGCCATGACGCGTCAGGAGTTAATGGTACCTCAGCATTGAGACCAGAGGTCCTGTGCTCCAATATCAGGCAGCCACTGGCTGTGGGGGAAGTGGAAAATGTAGCTCCTCCTACATTTCTGAGCAGCACCTAGACCCTGGAGAAGAGGCTTGCATGAGCTCTTGGGAGCCACCTCCCAGCAACCAGGGGTCCCCTCAGAAAGGACAGCGGGGCAGGACATAACACTATCTGCTACACTGCCCATCTCTGAGCAGTGCGGTTATGGCAACATGTCACAAGAATGGTACGGTAAGGTGCCGGGGAGCAATATTATACAGTGATTAAGATTCTAGGATCAGAAGCTTGGGTTCTTTTTTTTATTTTTTATTTTATTTTTATCTTAGAGTTCCAGAGAAGCCTGGGTTCTAATCCCAGGTCTTCCTCTTCTTGGCTGGGGCAAATTTCCTCATCCCTCTCATAAGGTGGCTGCAAGGATTAAATACGGTGACAATGTAAAGAATATAGCACAATGGTAAATAGTAGGTATTTGACTCTGTGCATTAGTTTCCTTTTATGTAAATAAAATGAGGATAGTAGTAGCAACTGCCTTAGGGTTGTTGTAAGAATTAATTGAATTGATTTGTGTATTGGCTTTGAGTCATGTCTGTCTCATAGTTCACACTACATAAGTATAGGCTCTTTTATTACTCTTATTATGGCTGTCACTGCTATGACTGTTTTCATTTGAGTAGGGAAAAACTGGGTAGTGCCCTTAAAATTGCTGCTGTAACAGGTTTCCAGTATTCTTTCCATGATGACCAATGAACATGTGTGTGTAGCCAAACAAACCACTTAGGGAAGAAGACACTGGAAGGTATGACTCAGTTTAAATGCTCTGTTCCCCACTTGCATTTCTCTCTGGACTCCATCTAGGTTGGGTGTTCATGGCATTATTTTCCCCTTTTTGTTTATACTCACTGGCCCCAGTAATGTATGTATCCACTTCTCTCTGTGATGGATTTTCATGATTCACCAGCTACCTCTAAAGGTGAGCAAAGCTTTGTGAAGTCTTATTATTACATTATTTTAAAAGATTTTGTTTATTGGTCAGGGAGAGAGGGAGAGTACGATTGCAAGCAGGGGATGGGCAGAGGGAGAGGGAGAAGCAGACTCCCCATGGAGCAGAGAGCCCAGTGCGGGGCTCAATCCCAGGACCCTGAGATCATACCTGAGCTGAAGGCAGATGCTTAACTGACTGAGCCACCCAGGCGCCCCTTGTTAGTACATATTCACATATTTAGAATGCAAAAGATTGTTTCACCAGAACTAAGAGTAAAAGTGGGACATGATTGTTTATCCAGATTATTCGTTTAGAAAATTTTTAAAAAGGTTTATTCAGTCTTTTTTCTGCTATGATTTTTTAATCTGAAGATAAAGGTAGAATTTAGCTTTTATAAGTAGAAGCTTTTATGAGTATAAGTACAGAGGAATCTGTAAAAAATACATAGCTATAACATTCTACATATTTGCATAGTTAGCAGCTATAATGAAGTGGAGTCAGTACATGGCTGGAGTCTTGATTGGGTCTGAGTAGGTATCTGGATGCTCAGTTGGTTAAGCATCTGCCTTCAGCTCAGGTCATGATCTCAGGGTACTGGGATCAGGTCCCTAATGGGGCTCCCTGCTCTGTGGAGAGTCTGCTTCTCACTCTGCCTGCTGCTTCCCCTGCTTGTATTCTCTCTCTGTGTCAAACAAATAAATAAATTCTTTAAAAAAAATAATAATTCACATTTCCCTGATGATGAGTGATGTTGAGCATCTTAAAAAAAAAAAAAAAAGTGACCCATCTGAATTGTGGATGGTGGTGATCGTACCTGGCTCTGTGTCCTTCTATGGTATGTGACATTGTTGTGATGGCACCTTGTAAATGGTGTCTGGGGCTTGTCATCATCCGTGTAAGCTTTCTTCATTGTCTCAGGTGTCCCTCAAGGGATCGTAGTAATTCCAGGAATTGATGGTCCCTTTGTTGTTTTGTCCCTCTCTCATAATTTTGTATGGTGTGAAAGGGCTCCAGAGAGTTAAAAACATAATATTCTCATTTTAATGTGGGACAAAATGGCAGCTCCGGGAGGACAACTCGGTTGCCTGTGGCCATATCAGTTAGTGTTGAGCTAAGACGGTTCTAATCTGTACAAATGGGACCCGCGGGCCGTATGACTGGGCATCCCTCACAGGGCTTCCCAGAACTGCAATAGGGTTTTCCACTGGACCCTTTACAGCAAGTCCCTTCCTCTTGTTACTTCAGGGCATTTCAGAAATTCATCAAGGCCCTGAGGCTGTACTCTCAGAGCCCGGAGTGGCTTTTCTTTTGACCCAGGGTAGAAGCTTTCTTTTCCTATGGTGAATTTTTCTCCCTTGTGTATATAAGTAAGTCTTCTATTGTGATTTCTTTCCAAATGAGTTTATGAGGAAATGCAGCAATTGCAAATGTTGCTGTCCAGCAGAAATAGAATGCTAGCCACGTGTGTAATTTTAAATTTCCTGATAGCCACGTTAAACTAAGTGCCAAGAAAGAAGTGCAATTTACTTTAATAATATATTTTATTTGACCAGAGAAATCTAAAATAATCAGTTTGATGTATTATTAATAGAAAAAACAATTCATGAGATATTTTATGTATTTTATTTTCATTCTGAGTCTTCAAATTCCGATGTGCATTTTACATTTTTGGAACATCTTAATTTAGACACTAAATTTTCGCCTGAAATCCTTTCCATTTAGATTTCATAAAAATTTATGGTTGGAAAAGTAGATTTATATACTTAGAGATTATTCCCACATAAACTTTTTCAGTAACCAAATGAAAAATCATTTTCCTGTAATAGTCACATGCACATTGACAAAACTGGTTCATATTTTTAGAAGAATTGACTTGACTTTTCAAAACCATGCCCAAGTTAAGTAAATTTGCTAACTCTTGTGTCAAAACCATATTATTAACGTTAAATTCAAAAGAAGTATTGAATAAATTGAAAAGAAAATTTAAATTTAACAATATCAACAAAGTGTTCTTCAAACTTTTTAACTTTTGCAGTCAATTTACATAATGCTATTTCAACTTAAATCTACATGTTGAGTCATGTTCTAAAAATATGTAAAATTCATTATTGTTGACTTATATTATGAAGTTGAAACAAAAATTTTCACACTTGTCTGGCTAGGTCATAAATATGATCTTTTCCCTTCCTTGGAGCTTTAAATTTAGCTTGATCATATGTGGTGTGGGTATCGGTGAGAAAATGTCAATCCCACTGGCATTTTTTATGTTTGATTATTGAGTGAAATAATTATTTCTTGACTTGGGGAGCATTTTCTTTTATTACAAGGAAATCTGATTTCGAGTTGACAATACAGTGAATTGTAGGACTCCTTTATCTCTCAATCAGTGAACACTGGCAGAAAACAGAATCATTAAATCCATTGTCTTCTGTTTCTTTCAACAGTTCCATACTGGGGAATCATTGTAGCATTTACAAGTATATACTAAAGCATTTCAACAACTGTATCCGTGATAGTTTTCACAGAGCCAGCTTCAGAAAATTGAGTGCAAGTGTTTCCGATATGTAACATACGGTACAATGAAGCAATAAAAGAAGCATCAGTCTTAAAATCCCAGTAAGTCAGATGTCAACCCAACCTAGCTGAAGTACTGTCATCATAGAAATTTTCACATACAGGTGAAATTCTTCTTTGACGGATGAAAAAGATTTAAAAAATACCTACATCACAAGGTTCATAGTTTTTTGGTTTTTTTTTTTTTTAAGATTTTAGGGGCGCCTGGACGGCTCAGTGGATTAAGCCTCTGCCTTCCGCTCAGGTCATGATCCCAGGGTCCTGGGGTCCTGCTTCTCCCTCTCTCTCTGCCTGCTGATCTGTCTACTTGTAATCTCTGTCTGCCAAATAAATAAATAAAATCTTAAAAAAAAGATTTTATTTATTTGATAGAGAGATCACAAATAGGCAGAGAGGCAGGCAGAGAGAGCAGGGGGGAAGCAGGCCCCCTGCTGACCAGAGAGCCCAATGTGGGACTCGATCCCAGGACCCTGAGATCATGACCTGAGCTGAAGGCAGAGGCTTTAACCCACTGAGCCACCCAGGTTAACCGCTTTTTTTTTCTTTAAGATTTTACTTACTTATTTGAGAGAGAGAGCATGAGCAGGGATGGGGGACAGAGGGAGAGGGAGAAGCAGACTCCCCACTGAGCAGGAAGCCTTATGCAGGCCTCAACCCCAGGACCCTGAGATCATGACTTGAGCTGAAGGCAGACCTTTAACCAACTGAGCCACCCAGGAGCCGCTAAAATGGTTTTCTTTTGGAGCACCTGAGTGGCTCAGGCAGTTGGGTGTCTGAATCTTAGTTTTGGCTCAGGTTAATTCTGGTTTCAGCCACAGATTTCACTGATTGTTTTTTTAGTTTTTATTTAAATTCCAGTTGGTTAACATAGGATGTAATATTAGTTTCAAGGTATAAAGTTAGTGATTCAGCACTGACATACAACCCATGGTGCTTATCACAGCAGTGCACTCCTTCATTCCCATCACCTATGTCATCTGTTCCCACCACCCTACTCTCCTCTGGTAACCATCAGTTTGTTCTCTTTATTAAGAGTCTGTTTCTTTGTTTGCCTCTCTCATTTTTTTGATTTTTTGTTTTTGTTTGGTTTGATTTGGTGGTTGAGAGGAAACGGCTTATGAAATTATCCGTGTATTTGCTGAAAATGCCTCCTTGGTACAGCAAACAAACTTTTTTCATTTTACTCTGCTATAGCAAGTTGCAGTTGCCATTCATTATGAAGTTTCTGACATACCTTCCACCAGTTCTTTTTTGTTGTTGTTGTTATTTCTCCTTTTTTGTTCTGGTCATAGCTCTACCTTTGGCATCTTCACTCAATTCTGGATCAATCTTTGATTTAAAAAATAAGAAGGGGCGCCTGGGTGGCTCAGTCGTTAAGTGTCTCCCTTCAGCTCAGGTCATGATCCCAGGGTCCTGAGATCAAGCCCCGTTTTGGGCTCCCGGCTTGGTGGGGAGCCTACTTCTCCCTCTCCCACTCTTCCTGGTTGTGATCCCTCTCTTACTATCTTTCTCTCTGTCAAATAAATAAATAAAATCTTAAAAAAAAAAAAAGAAGAAGAAGAAGAGGAAGAAGAAGAGGTGGCTCTGTTAAGCCACTGCCTTCAGCTCGGGTCATGATCCTGGAGTCCCAAGATCGAGTCCTGAATCAGGCTCCCTGCTCAGGGGGGAGCCTGCTGTTCCCTCTGACCCTCTCCCCTTTCATACTCTCTTTCTTTATCATTCTCTCTGTCAAATAAATAAATCGTAAAAAAAAAAAAATAAGAAGAATCAAAAACTGAGAGAAGAAGAAATATCTGACACTAACAAAGCCATGCTAAAATGCATGTCTGCTCTATACTAGAAATGTGTTCGTGAACTTTTTGTTAGCTTCAGAGCTGGTAAGGGAATTCTAGCAATGAAGATGAGGATAATATACAAACTCAAAGGGAATAAAGCTATCACATTAACTTGACCAAAAAAAAATTTGGTAACAATAGTATTCCATTGCTTTAAATTTAAAAATTTGTCCATGCTTATTTTTTAACTAGATATGTAGTGACATTTCACGTTAGTTACCAATTATGATATGCATAGCTATCATTGTAACTCCTGCTATCTGCATAATAAACATAATATAGTGTTTCATCAGCAGTGCCTGGAAGATAAAGTCACTTGAACTGAATGAACCTATTGTCCCTGAGTAGAACAGTGATGTGTTTATGCATGCTACTAGAAACACATGCGCCTGACGTGCTCGCTGCAATACCACAAAAATATCTTAGGTCATGCAGTGGTTAATGTCATCCTACCAAAAGAGTACAATTGTGAATAATGAAAGAATGTTTTACAATACTTGAGTTTTTACATTAAAACTAAACAAAGTTTAAAATTCGGTTTCTGTGTCACATTGGCCATATTTGAAGTACTCAGAAGCCACGTGTGGCTAGTGTGTGTGCCTAGTGGCCACCTTATTGGCCAATGTACATAGAGTTGAATATTTGGTGAGTTAGAAAGTTATTGGTTTTGTTCCTTGGAATTCAATTAATTGTCGCATTCTATTGCCTTCCGCTTAAAAATAACTTTATTTTAAATCTTAGTTAAAAATTTCTTTTCGGGACCCCTGGTGGCTTAGTTGGTTAAGCATCTGCCTTTGGCTCAGGTCATGATTCCAGGGTCCTGGGATTGAGTTCTGCTTCGGGCTCCTTGCGCAGAGGGGAGCCTGCTTCTCCCTCTGCCTGCCACTCCCCCTGCTTGTGCTCTTTCTCTCCTTTCTCTCTCTCTGTCAAATAAATAAATAAAATCTTTAACCATTTTCTTTTTATTATTTCTGCCATTTGCTCATAGAGTGGTTTTTGCAAGTAGATCTTAACATAGGCTTAACATTAATAGTTCTGTTCTAGATAGAGGAGGGATCACAGCTTAGGGAAGGCCTGCAGATGTCTTTGGGGTGAGTTCCCTCCTGCCTCCAATTCTTGGGGAGTAAGAGTAAGTTTCTAGTGAGGACCAGGAGTTTGGGGCTTGTGTAATGGCTGTTTCTTACTACCTTTATGATCTTGGGAAATTTACTTCTGTGGGACCCAGTGGCTAATCTGTGAGATGAGATGCTAGTGTACCCCCACTGGAGGTCTGATTTGAGAGTAAATGCACTGAGAAGCCCTTCTTAAACCCTTATGTTTATTAAGTGCCTTGCCCATGGCCTGACTTTATCTTCCGTTGCGTTATGTTATTTTGGGGGCCGGAGTTATGTTTAGTTATGACTGTAGTCGTGTGCCCTATTAGAAACATTCCTCCTTTATGTGTCATTGAAGCCAGGCTGAACTAAAAGCAAGAAATGAAGAAATGAAAAACTGAAACAAGTCTTCAAATAATTCTTCAAAGACTACTAAGCAGTAGTCTTTGCTCTCCAGAGAGTTGGGCCAAGATAGTTTTTTTTTCTAGTAAGCCAAATAGTTTCCCAAGTTCTCTACTTTGTTTTTTTAGCATGGGTCTAGCTCAACCACAACATGTATGTTGAAAAAGTATTGTCTCAGAATTACTTCAAGTTAATTTTCCTTAGAGGTGCATTTTTAAAAGAGCTAAAGTCCTGGATATTAAGCTCCTTTTTAACTACTTGGAGCATGCCTTTAAGGTTGCATGTCACAGCTGGGTGCTGCCCAGTAGTGTGTTATAGGTCAGCTCTAGGAGGCCAAGAATGAAGAGTGGGATAAAAAGACCAGCTCCTAAATAAATAAAATCTTTAAAACAAAGCAAAACAAAACAAAAGCAGCTCCCGGCCCTGGTATTGCCTTGCCTCCTTGACAGACTCTGGGGGAAAGCACTGGCTTTTCTGAATGGAATGGCAGGGTGTACTAAGAAGGGAAACTGACCTTCTGTCTTCTGTCAGGCTAATCAAGACAAGCCCAGACCTGGCTGAATCCTGCACATGGTTTCCAGAGTCTTATGTGATTTATCCAACTAATCTCAAGACCCCAGTTGCTCCAGCACAGAATGGAATTCACCCACCGATCCATAACTCAAGGACAGATGAAAGGGAATTCTTCCTGGCTTCTTATAACAGAAAGAAAGAAGATGGAGAGGGCAATGTTTGGATTGCAAAGTCATCAGCGGGTGCCAAAGGTGAGTTGGCATTGCTGTCCCCTTCTGCCTCTGCTGTAGGTTCTCATATGGTTTGTTCAATTGTGCGTTAGATTCAGTGATGTCTTTAGATGAGTGACTATTACAATCTGAATGCTCAAGGGTAGAGACCACATCTAGTTACATAGTTTTAAGTATTTATCTAGGTACTGAAGACTTCTAAATCTACATCTCCAGCCAAAGTATTTCCCTTTAAGCTCCAGATTCAGTTTGGCAGACATTTCAAATGTAACATATCTGATATGATCTTTTCATTTCCTGCCCAGTTTAACCCACCCTAGCCTACTCCTCTTTCAGACTTCACATAGTATGTGATCCCACTCTCCACCCAGTCTCCAAAGCCCAAAATCTAGGCTTCATCCTTGACTGCTCTTTTCTTTACAGTCCATACCTAATGCATCAGCAAGTCTTGCTAGCTCTACCTTCAAAATAGATTCTGAATTATACTTTTTCTTGCCATTTCTGCTGCTATCAGTTGAAGTCAAAACTACGATTCTCTCTAGTCCACGTAATTGCTATGCCTGCTCACAGCCAGGTCTCTAAGACAGAGCAATGTCTAAAAACGTAAGCCTGATCAGGTTACTCCCTGTTCAAGACTTACCAGCTGGCTTCCCAATGCAGTCAGATAAATTCCAGATTGCTGATGGAGCCTACACTGTTTAACATTTGCTCCTATCTCTGATAGCATCTCCTGTTCTTGACCTTGCTCACTGTTCTATAGCCATGCCTGCCTAGAGTCCTAAAAATACCCTAAATCCGTTTGCGTATCTCAGATGTCCCTATGGATTATTTTCTGTTTCTTTCAGCTCAGATGATGCCTTGTCAGAGAATCCTTTTCCTCTCTAAAATAGCCTTTATGCCAATTGCTCTCTGTCCTTTGCCCTGCTTTGTTTTCCCTCCCCGCACTAACCTCTTCCAGCACTTCTATTACATATCTGTTTATCCGCCTGTCTCCTCTCTTACACCATAAGCTCCATGTACACACAGAATTTCTGTCTTTTTCATCTCTACCCTCCCCAGAGGCACTCCGTAAATGTGCGTTGAATGAATGCATAGAAGGAATGAGGTTTATAATGTTGACTCAAGCTCAAAATATAGGCAGTACCCAATGTAATGAACACATAAACACAGTCTATCTCTATAGCTACCATCATATGCTCCTTTTAAAACCATTCTATTTTGAACTTACTTCTTCTTTTATTGCCTTGGAAGACCATCTGGCCATTGGTACTCATTTCTATCCCCGGTCCAGTGGACCTCACCTTCTTTTCCACCAACCATGAGACAGGAGGGCATCACCTGGAATCTCCTGAAAGGGGGAGAGTTGGACTCTTGCCACAAGCCAGGTACCTCACCTACTTCTCTCTCCCCTCTTGTGACCTCTTCTCAAGTAATGTCCCCTAGTTTAGTTCTAATGATAAATGGGGGAATTGGAAGAGGAAATAGACATTTACAGTATTCCATATTCCTCCTGTGGATTTGGGCTTGAGTCAGGATGGCCATTGTAAGGACATCTTGTATTATGGAGTCTTAGCCAGAGTGAGAATCAGGAGCAAGGCAAGACCCTTGTCAAGTTGTGGCAGTGATCCCACCTGGGTGGTGTCTGAACCCTTACCCAGACAAGTCATAGATTGGTGGTCAGCATCAGGGTGAGGTAAAGAGAGAATAAAATGCCAAACAAGGGGGAAATTTTGCATTAGGGAGTTGAGATAAGTGGTATGCATTTGTTTTGTTTGGGAACTACAAAATGAAACCAATAGGATGTATAATGGCTTTTATTCTTGTTAAAGAAGTATCTAGTACCTGCCACATGCTAGGAATAGTTAGCTCAACCTCCACACTATATCTGGTGTAAAGACCCCCTCTTCACCACCCCCACCGCCGATCTTGGACCTCAGCTACCTTCACCTCTCACCTGGAGCATTGTTCTTTGTCCTCCTGCCCTTGGCCATTCTCCAGAATACACATGCAGTACAGCAGACAGAGATCAAGTTAAAGCACAGTCAGACCCTGTCACATCTGTGTACACTGCTGTCTCCCTGGCGCTGGGGCAATACACAGAACCCAGCCAAAGTTCGATATATATATTGAGTGATGAGTGAATGAATAGATGTAGTAATGGGTGTTTGGAGATACAGACATAAATAAAATAGATATGATCTCTTGCCCTTATGGATGCTAGGGATACATATATTTCCAGATAAATAGTTGAGATGGGCACAAATAACAAAAAAAAAGACTATCACCTGGAAGCTCCTTAAAGAATTCCAGAGTTTCCTCATAATTTCTCCAGGTTTAGTTAGTGAGGATATAAAGCAATATTAGAAATACAGTTAACGAGGGGCGCCTGGGTGGCTCAGTGGGTTAAGCCTCTGCCTTCAGCTCGGGTCATGATCTCAGGGTCCTGGGATCGAGCCCTGCATTGGGCTCTCTGCTCAACAGGGAGCCTGCTCCGCCGCCACCGCCTCCGCTCCCCCCCCTCCGCCTGCCTCTCTGCCTGCTTGTGGTCTCTCTCTCTCTGTCACATAAATAAATAAAATCTTAAAAAAAAAAAAAGAAATATAGTTAACGAGTCCATGGAAACATGCTACACTGGTATTCAAAATTTACAAAATATATATAGATTTTATGTATCATTTTATACCTACAAAATAAGAGAGACCTTGAGTGGTACTGTTGCTGAAGGTTTGTAATTGAACTGCTTCCTCTTAGTTGTGATGCACTGTCTTTTGAAAAATCAATAGGATAATACAAAGGAAGAGCCATAGAGAGTACATAGGCCTTGGCCTACTAATCTCGTTCCTAAAAACGTAACTCCAGGGAAATATTTTAAAAGAAACAAGAGTGATCTATAGCAAAGACATTTACGACCATGTGACCTGTAACAGCAACATTTTATTTAGAAACAACCCCACTGTCCAGCAATCAGTAAACAAATGTGTAATTTTCTTCAGCTGCTAACATAATTGTAATGTTAATGTAGAAACCGTCAAAATACTGACAATATAAAGTGAAAAAAATTGATATAAGGTGAGTTCACTATGACTGAACCAATCTTTCCTTATGGAAAGGAAAGTGATATTAAAAGATAAAAATAACTATATTAGGAAATAAGACTACAGGTAAATTTTCTATTTCACTTGAATGCCATGTTTTTTTTCAATAATAATAGTTTTTTAAAGTTATCAAAATGTAACTTTCTACCTTCTTCCATTTATTTTTCCCACCTATCAGCATTAGGTTTATTTTCAGTAAGAAATAGTTTATATAAAGAAATAGCATAAGGGAAACAAAGTTGGAGCAAATAGGAGGGAATGTGAGCAGATATGGAGAGCAAGGCATTAAAAGTGGTACAGTTCCAGAGCATTAGTAGGAAGGGATATTTTAGGATAACTATTTATTTTTTTTAAAGATTTTATTTATTCATTTGGCCAAGAGAGAGCACAAGCAGGGGGAGGGCCAGGCTGAGGGAGAGGGAGAAGCAGGAAGCCTTATGTGGGGCTTCCTCCCAGAACCCTGTGATCATGATCTGAGATGAAGGCAGACACTTAACCAACTGAGTCGCCCAGGTGCCCCTTAGGAGAACTATTTTAGGAGAAGTGAAAAGGAAGAGAGACAAAGGTCTGTCCAAAAAAAAAAAAAAAAAAAAAGGAAATAAAGAGGAACTAGGATATCTGAGTGTGGTTCCTGAGGGAGATGAAACAGAAAGAAGCCTGTTCGTACAAAATGAGAGGAAGGAGCTTCTCTGAGGTGATTTGTAGTTTCTGTGGTGGAGCAAGTGACAGAAATGAGGTGGTTTAGACAGGGGTTGGCTTTTAGGAAAGTTGAATTGTTAAATTAATTAATAAAATTAGAGTAATTTGTTTTAAAAGCATGAGATGCAAGTAGAGATAAGCTATAAATCTAAAGCATAGGTGGGAGGTCCTAGAACTAAAAACACTGAGTTCAGCAAGTTTGCAGGATATCAGATCACACAAAAACCAGTTGCATTTCTGTAACTTACAATTAATATATTGAAACTAAAATTAAAAACCGTATTTTTTAATAGTCACCCCAAAGAAAATGAGATGCTTAGGTATTCACTTAGCATAACATGTACAGGATCTTAATGCTGAAAATTACAAAACAACTGAAAGTCAAAAAGGATCTACATAAATGTACAGACATACATGTTCATGGATTGGAAGACTCAACATTGTAAAGATGTCAGTTCACCCCAAATTAATCTGTAGGCTTAATGCAGTTGCTGTCAAGACCTCAACCAGGTTTTTATGCAGACATAAAGCTTCTTCTAAAATTCACATGGGAAGGCACAAGTCCTAGAATAGCTTAAATAATTTTGAAAAAGAAGAATCAAGTCGGGTGTGCCTCGGTGGCTCAGTCATTAAGCAGCTGCCTTTGGCTCAGGTCATGATCCCAGGGTCCTGGGATGTAGCCCTGCATCAGGCTCCCTCCCCAGCGGGAAGCCTGCTTTGCCCTCTCCCACTCCCCCTGCTTGTGTTTCCTCTCTCGCTGTGTCTCTCTCTGTCAAATAAATAAATAAAATCTTAAAAAAATAAAAAGAAGAAGAAGAAGAACAATCAAGTAGGAGTAATCACTGTACTTGATATTAGAGCATACTACAAAGCTACAATAATCACTACCCTGCAGTATTGTTAGGGGCACAGAAACATAAATCTGTGGAAGAAAGAACTCAGAAATAGACCCTACATAAATACCCACCTGATTTTTGACAAGAGTGCAAAAGCTATTCAATAGAAGGACAGACTTTTCAGGACACCTGGGTGGCTCAGTTCGGTTAAGCATCTGCCTTCAGCTCAGGTCATGGTCCCAGGGTCTTGGGATCAAGTCCTGCATCGGGCTTCTTGCTCAGCGGGTAGCCTGCTTCTCCCTTTGCCTGCCACTCCTGCTTGTGCTTCTCTCTCTCTCTTTCTGTGACAAACAAATAAATAAAATCTTGAAAAATAAAAAAAAATAATAAGACAGATTTTTCAACAGATGATGCTGGGGCAAGTAGATATCCATAGATAAAAACAATCAACTTCAATATTACCTCACACCTCATACAAAAACTAACTCAAAACAGTTTTGTGGGCTTAAATTTAAAATATAAAACTATAAATATTACCAGAAAAAAAATAGGAGCTAGGGCAAGGCAAAGAATTCTTTTTTGTTGTTTGTTTTTAAGATTTTATGTATTTATTTGACAGAGAGAGACACATCAAGAGAAGGGACACAAGCAGGGGAAGTGGGAGAGAGAGAGGCAGGCTTCCTGCTGAGCAGGGAACCCAATGCAGGGCTCCATCCCAGGACCCTGAGATCATGACCTGAGCCGAAGGCAGATGCTAAACCAACTGAGCCACCCAGGATCCCCAAGGCAAAGAATTCTTAAACTTAATATCACATATATGACCATAAGAGTAAATAAAAGTTCATAAGCCAAAACCTCAATAAATGAGGTGGGGTTTTTTTTGGGTTTTTTTGTTTTTTTTGCTCTGTGAAAGACTCTCTTGAAGATCAGGTTGAATATCCAAGCTATAGACTTGGAGAAGGTACCTTCAAACCACCTATCTGACAAAAGACTCTAGATCTAGAATATATAAACAACTTTCAAAACTCAACAGTTAAAAAAAGAAAAGAAAAGAGAAAAAGTCCATTTAGAAGATTAGCAAAGGCATAGGAATGCATTCCTGCTCCCTGCTCAGTGAGGAGTCTGTTTCTCACTCTCCTTCTGCCCCTGCTTGTGTTCTCTCTCATTCACTATCTCTCTCAAATAAATAAGTAAAATCTTTAAAAGAAAAAAAAAAAGGCTCTACAGATAAAAAAATAAGCAAATGAGAAAATTTCCAATATCATTAACAATTAGGGAAATGCAGATTAAAGCCATAATACTTCTATTAAAATGGCTAAAATAAGAAACGGTAATGACAGCAAGTGCCGCAAGGGTCAGGAGAAACTAGATCATTCACACAGTGTTGGTTGGGATGTAAAATGCTACAGCCACTCTGGAACAAAGTGTAGTAGTTTTTTGTAACACTAAACCTATAACTACCATATAACCTAGTAATTGCACACAGTAGGGCTTTTGTCCCAGAAAAATTAAAACTTATGTCCATGCAAATACCTGCATGTGATTGTTCATAGCAGCTTTATTTGTAATAGCTGGAAACAAACTGGAAACAACTCAAATTGCCTCAGAAGCCGAGTGATTAAGCCAACTGTGGAGAATTGATACCATGGAACAGTCCTCAGCTCCTCAGCAATGAAAGGGAATGAAGTATTGATCCATGCAACAACTTGGATGCATCTCCAGAGTGAAAGAACCCAAGCCCCAAAGATCACATACTATATAATTCTATCTGTATAAAATTCCTGAAATTTTGGACAAAATTATGGAAATGGAGAACAGATTAGCAGTTGTCAGGAGGGTATTATGGGGAGGGAGGTAGTTGTGGCTTTAAAAGAGGAACACTGTGACGGATCCATGGTGATGGAACTGTTCAAAACAGAATATATTTGCAAGTCATATATCTTATCAGACACCTGTATCCAGAATGTGTAAAGAACTCTGATAACTCGGGGACCTGGGTGGCTCAGTTAGTTGAGTGACTGCCTTCAGCTTGGGTCATGATTCTGGAGTTCTGGGATTGAGTCCCGCATCGGGCTCCCTGCTCGGCTCGGGGTCTGCTTCTCCCTCTGACTGTCCCCCTCTCGTGCTGGTTCTCTCTCATTCTCTCTCAAATAAATAAATAAAATCTTTAAAAAAAAAAAGATAAAAAAAGAACTCTGATAACTCAGTAATAAAAGGACAACCTAATAAGAAAAGAACAAAGAACGGAAGTAGCTATTTCTCCAAAGAAAATATACAAATAGCCAATAAGCGCATGAAAACATGCTCCGCATTGTTAGTCGCTAGGGAAATGCAAATCAAAACCACAATGAGATACCAATTCACACCCGCTAGGATGGCTATAATCAAGAAGATAGTAAGTGTTGGCAAGAATGTGGCAGAATTGGAACACTCAAATATTGCTGTTGAGGGTGTAAAATGGCGTGAACATTTTGGAAATTAGTTTGGCAGTTTCTCAAAAAGTTAAACATAGAGTTACCATATGACCCAACTATTACACTCCTAGGTATATTCACAAAAGAATTGAAAATGTGTCCACACAAAAACTTCTGTGCAGGTCTTCATAGCAGCATTATTCATAAGAGCCAAGCAATAGTGGAAAAAACTCAAATGTCCATCAGTTGTTAAATGAATGAACAAAAATGGTATATCCACACAGTGGAATATTATCTAATCATGGAAAGGGAGAATGATGTAGTGGTACATGCTACAACATGGATGAACCTTGAAAACATTATGCTAAATGAAGAAGCCAGACACAAAGGCCATATACTGTGTGAATCATCTAGACTGAGCAAATCCAGAAAGTAGATTAGTGGTTGTCAGAATAGGATAAGGAAGGAATGGGGAATTTACTGCTAATGATACGGATTTTTGCAGGGTGGTGATGAAAATGTTTTAAAATTGTTAGTGGTTGTTGCAAATCTCTTGGATATATGAAAAACCATTGAATTGTATACTTGAGAAGGGAAAATCTTATGATATATAACATATCTTAATAAAGCTGTTGAAAAGGACATTGTATCATTTAAAGTTGATTAACACTTTACATGTATCAAATTTTTCGTATTACAGTACTGTAGAGAATTGACTTGTATGATTGTCTTTATGCCCTAACTTTCTGGATATTTCTATAAGCTATAGTATGAGAACTAGGTTTATTAAGGTCTTTATCAGGGTAGCCATGTGGCCAACAGTAAAGTGACATTTATTTAGGATGTTTGGATATTTTGGATGTCTGTGAAAATGAAATTTCATGTTTGAAGCCTGTCAAGGTAGTGTTAAAGTCCTATGTGGGAAAAGAGTTAGATGGCCCTGGTGCTCTTGTGTGCAGAGGGGAGAATGTAAGAGATTGGGGAAGTGATGGGATGGAGGAAGAAAGGTGAGCAGGCCATAGAAGCCTCCTCTCGGTTTTCTCCTGCTATCAGTATTCCCCTTTTGGCTTTGTAGAGATCTTTTCCCCTTGGGATCAACTGGACTCATTTCTCTTACAATTTTGCCCTGTTAGGTGAAGGCATCCTCATCTCCTCGGAGGCTACAGAGCTTCTGGATTTCATTGACAACCAGGGTCAGGTGCATGTGATCCAGAAATACCTTGAGCACCCTCTGCTTCTGGAGCCAGGTCACCGCAAGTTTGACATTCGGTAATGCATCGGTGTCCAGAGTTTTTGTTACTAATCTTAAGAAAAATGCTGTGGTGGGTGATAAGGGTAACATGGAATGTGAGGAAGTATTTGACCATGTTTAACATATAGCCAAAATTGAGCACAGCTGAATAGAACCAAGCTTCTGTACCTAATTTTCTATTTTTCCTTCAGTATTTCTCTTTTCTTTCTAGAAAACATTACTAAAACTATGGGTTTTCCATTTTTTGGTATGTTCTCTTTACTCAGAATGACTTGTGTCTCCACAGAGAGTTTAAGTGTATGGGGCTTGCTTATGGAAGCAACTGAGAGATAAACCTAGAACACATAATTCAGACACAGGATATAATACGTCCTTGCTTTGTTATTTGTGTCCTCTATTTTTTAAGGATTTCATAAACACACCTCACATACCTTTTTGGATTCTGACTTTCTGAGCAATGTTCTGTCCTAGAATAAGAGGTTGTATTGTGCTTTCTAAAGCTAAACAGCCCTCTCCCCCGCTTTCCTGTGGTCTTGCTGACATCTCCTCTATGAGGATTCTCTCTTCTTGTTGTCTTCATAATAACTTGCTGCTTCTTGAACACCAATCCTATGTCAGATCACCTTCAGGATGAACACTCTCCCTTTTAAGATTACTATAGAGCAAACGTGGCAAATGGAAATTTCATGGATAAACCTTAGGACCCAGCCTATCCAGATCTTTTCAAAATGCTGTCTTTTGAAGATCAAACGCTCCTTGTCATTTTTGATAAAATGTTTTAATTGCCTCATTACAGTGATAATCCACTATCTTGGCTAATTGTCATGGCTTGCCTCATAGAATTTTAGAACCTGTCTCCTTCCTCTGCTTCCCTCCAAAACTGTTAAGGTGTGGTGATGATGTATATGCTATGGAGAAACTTTGGATGACTTGAGTGAAACTGTTTTTATTGACTTGCAGAAGCTGGGTCTTGGTGGATCACCAGTATAATATCTACCTCTATAAGGAGGGTGTGCTTCGGACTGCTTCAGAACCATATCATGTTGATAATTTCCAAGACAAAACCTGCCATTTGACCAATCACTGCATTCAAAAGGAGTACTCAAAGAATTATGGAAAGTATGAAGAAGGGAACGAAATGTTCTTTGAGGAGTTCAATCAGTACCTAATAAGTGCTTTGAACATTACCCTGGAAAGTAGTATCTTACTACAAATTAAACATATAATAAGGTAACTTAATTGTATCTTTTTTAGTTATGTGTTTTGGAGAAGCTTTGGGAGTTTGTGCCTTTCAAGGAATTATTCTATTTAAGCTGTCTAATTTAAGGACAAAAATTATTTGTAATATTCCTTCATTATCCTTTCAATATCTATAGGGTCTGTAATGATGTCACTGCTTGCATTCCATATATTGGTAACTTATTTCTTCTATTTTACTGGGACAGAATGGCTAGAGATATATCAGTATTATTAATCCTTTCAAAAGGTTACTTTTTGGTTTTATTGGTTTTCTCTGTTGTTTTTATTTCTTTGACTTATGTTTCTTATTATTTTCTTCCTTTTGCCTTTTTTTTTTTTTAAGATTTTATTTATTTGTTTGACAGAGAGAGAGATCACAAGTAGGCAGAAAGGCAGGCTCCCTGCTGAGCAGAGAGCCCAATGTGGGGCTCAATCCCAAGACCCTGAGACCATGACCTGAGCTGAAGGCAGAGGCTTAACCTTCTGAGCCACCCAGACGCCCCTTTCTTCTGCCTTTCTGAGGGATTTGTTTTGTAGTTTCCTTAAGGCAAAAATTTAGATCATTGATTTGAAAGAATTCATTTTTTAAATGCATTTAATGCTGTCAGTTTCCCTCTGAGTACTCATTAGCTGCATCCCACAGGCTTTCCTATGTTATGTTTTCATTTTCATTTTATTAAAATATTTTCTAATTTACCTTGTTACTTCATCTTTGACTTGTGTTATATAGAAGTTTTTGCTTAATTTCCAAATATTTGGGTATTTTCCAGATATTTTTCTATTACTGATTTTTAGTTCCATTTTGGTCAGAGAACACTTTAAAATTTGTTAAAGATTGTGTCATGGGGGCGCCTGGGTGGCTCAGTGGGTTAAGCCTCTGCCTTCGGCTCAGGTCATGATCTGAGGGTCCTGAGATCAAGCCCCATATCAGGCTTTCTGCTCAGCAGGGAGCCTGCTTCCCCCCCACCTCTCCTTGCCTCTCTGCCTACTTGTGATTTCTCTCTCTGTCTGTCAAATAAATAAATAAAATCTTAAAAAAAAAAAAAAAGATTGTGTCATAGCCCAGAATGTGGTCCAGTTTTAGTGACTGTTCCATGTATACTAAAAATAATGTTTATTCCCCTGTAGTTGGGCTGAGTGTTCTATAAATGTGAATTAGGTGAAGGTGGTTAGTAGCATTGTTAAAGTCTTTTATATCTTTGCCGCATTTCTGTTCTACTTGTTCTGTCCATGATTGAGAGGAAAAACTTTGAAGTCTCCAAGTATAATTATGGATTTGTCTGTCTCTCCTTTAGATTTACCCATTTTGCTTCATATATTTTGAAATCTGTTTTTAGGTGCATATGTATTTAGAATTATTACCTCTTTGTGGCAACTGACCACTTTAACCTTACGTAATGTCTTGTCTTTATCTCTGGTAATGTTTCTTATTTTGAAAGTCAATTTTGCCTGATATTAATATAGCCACTCCAGCTTTTTTTGATTAGAGATATGTCTCCATCCCTTTAATTCTATCCTATCCTATTCCATTCTATATTTAAAGTGGGCTTCTGGGGTGCCTGGGTGGCTCAGTTGATTAGGCAACTGCCTTCAGCTCAGGTCATGATCCTGGAGTCCTGGGATCGAGTTCCGCATCGGGCTCCCAGCTCCGTGGGGAGTCTGCTTCTCCGTCTGACCTTCTCCTCACTCATGCTCTCTCTCACCGTCTCTCTCTCAAATAATTAAATAAAATAGTAAAAAAATAAATAAATAAATAAATAAATAATAAAGTGGGCTTCTGGCAGACAGTATGTAGTTAGGTTTTGTTTTCATTTTGTTTAACAAATCATTCAACATGGTAATCTCTACCTTTCTAATTGGTATGTTTTTATCATTTAAATTTAATGTAATTATTGGTTTGGTTGGATTTACGTGTACTATTTTATTATTTGCTATCTGTCCCCTTTTGGTTTTTTCATTTTTCCATTTCCTGCTTTTTATTTTTTATTTTTGTATTTTTAAAGTTTTTTTTTTTTTTTTTTTTTTTTGGTCAGAGAGAATGAGAGATAGCATGTGTGCTCATGCACACAAGCAGGGAGCAGCAGGCAGAAGGAGAAGCAGACTCCTCACTGACCAAGGAGCCCAGTGTGGGACTTGATCCCACGACCATGGAATCATGACCTGAGCCAAAGGCAGGCAGTTAACTGACTGAGCTACCCAGACCTCCCCATTACCTACCTTTTAAAAATTATTTAAATTTATTTAAATAATAAATTTAAGTTTAGAGTTTCATTTTAATTTTTCTGTTGAGTATTTGGCTTTCTCTCTCTTTTTAGTGCTTACTCTAGGAATTATGATTAATATACCTAATTTTTATTTTACAGACTTCTTAGAATTAATAATTTACCACTTCAAATAAAGTACAGAAAACTTAAAACTTTATAGTTCCTTTAACTCTCCCCCAGTTGTGGTGTGGTTTATGTTTACATACACTGAAATCTCTACTGCATAATATTATAATTCTTGCTGTCAATTGTCATATATATTTTTATTTGTATGTTAGATTGACAGGTTGGATTTTTTTAAACAAAATACAAGACCAAATGGTATGCTGTGTACAAGAAAACCCACCTTAAATTAAAAAAGAGAAAAATATTATTTTTTATTTACCCAAATAATTGCCCTTTTTATTCTCTTCCTTTAGTCCTAAAGTTCCAAGTTTCTCTCTGGCATTATTTCCCTTCAGACATTAGCATTTCTTTTAGAGTAGTTCTTTAGATAATCAGTCCTTTTAATTTCTGTCATCTGAGAATGTCTTTATCTCACCTTATTCCTGAAGGATATTTTCACTGGTGTTACATAAACATAATATCAAGCAAAAATTGCAAAATATATAAGCTGTATACAAGATGTATGCAGATTGATTCTGTTCATATAAATTGAAAAACAAGCAGAAGTAAAAAACGTTATTTAGAAGAATATTCATGTATGGTAAAAACAGAGAACTGAAGGTATGAAAAACACAACATTCAGGATAGTGGTTATCTCTGAAATGGAAGCAGGAGGGATCCAAGAAAGAGACTTAAAGGAATTGTGGTGTGGGTACATGGGTGGTCATTAATGCTACCTATATTGTAAACTCAGAAGACATTATTATCATTAGTATTGTATAGTTAACATTATTTATATTTCCCCATACATTTTTACCATTTATGTTGTTTCTTTTTCTTTCGTGTATTTTCTTAATTTTGTCTAGGATCAGTTTCCTTTTATTTGAGAGAGAGAGCTTGTTTAGGGGGTAGCGGGGGGTGGGAGGAGGAAGAGAGATTCCCAAGCAGACTCCCCACTGAGTGCAGAGCCTGATGCAGGGCTCAATCTCACGACCCTGAGATCTGACCTGAGCTACCCAGGTGCCCCCAAAGCAAGTGTCTTAAAAAAAAAAAAAAAAGAAGGGGGGCACCTGGGCAGCTCAGTGGGTTATGTGTCTGTTTTTGGCTCAGGTCATGATCTCAGGGTTGTAAAATCAAGCCCTATGTTGGGCTCCCTGCTCAGTGGGGAGTCTGCTTGAGATTGTCTCTCTCCCTCAAATAAATAAAATTTTAAAAATTAAAAAAAAAGATATTTGCTTTGGAAACAGATTTCTAGATCAGCAGAATCCCCCCCCACCCTTTTTTTAAAGCACTTAGAAGATGGCTTACCATTGTCTTCTGGCTTCTATTACATGGGTGTCATAGTGCTTCTCCAATCTGTGGCTTCAAGTCTTTTATTTGTTTTGGGATATTCATGGCCACTATCTTTTCAGTTAGGGCTTTCGTCCCATTCTTCTCTCCTCTGGGATTCTAATTACATGGATGCCAATTTTTTTCACTGTCTTCTGTTTCTCCCATGTGTATCATTTGATCTCTCTCTTCAGCAATTAAAACCTGCTTAAAAAGGAAAAAGCCTAGGATGCCTGGGTGGCTCAGTCGTTAAGCGTCTGCCTTTGGCTCAGGTCATGATCCCAGTGTCCTTGGATCGATTCCTACATCGATCCCCACATCCAGCGCCCTGCTCAGCAGGAGGCCCGCTTCTCCCTTTCCCACTCCCCCTGCTTGTATTCCCTCTCTCACTGTCTCTTTCTCTCTCTGTGTCAAATAAATAAATAAAATCTTAAAAAAAAAAAAAAGGAAAAAGCCATTAAAATTTGTTGTTAAACTCATCTGTTGAGTTCTTGATTTTAGGTATTGTATTTTTCAGTTCTAGGATTTCCATTTGACTCTTTTTAGGTTATAATTCTTTTGTGAAATCTCCAACTTGTCTAATAATTATATCTTGAACATGTTAATGGTAAGTCTTTAACATCTTTATTTGATTAGTCTGAAATCTGAATTACCTGTAGTAAAGGTTAGCAAAACTCTGTTCTATGGGCCAAATCCAACCTAAAGCTTGTTTGCAAATAGGCCATGAGCTAAAAATAGTTTCTACATTTTTAATAGGTTTTTTAGAAATTAAAGAATATGTAACAAAGACCATATGTAGTCTTCAAAACCTAAAATAGTTACTGTCTGGTCCTTTATAGAAAAAGTTTGCCAACCCCTGACTTTTATGGATCTTGTTTCTATTTTCTGTTTTTTTTTTTTCCTTTTGGTCCTGTTAATATGCCTGGAAATAATTAATATGCCTGGAAATAATTTTTTAGTGTTATTCATTTATTATAGTTTACTAAATCCAATAATTTTTTTTTAATTGAGGTGTAACATGCATATGGTAAAGTCCACAAACCACAAACCACAAACCATTAAGTATATAGTGTAGTAAACTTTTAATTAGGCACACACTCAGCTAATCATCACATGAATGAGGATATAAAACATTTACAGCACCCCCAATACTCCCTTGGACTCCCTCAAAATATATACTTCATGCCACAGATAGCCACTCTTCTGACTTTTATCATCATCCATTCCTTTTGCTTACTCTATGTTTTATGTAAATGGAATTATACTGTGTTTCCTGTTTCATGTTCAACTTTCTTTCACAATTGTAGGTATGGGTTTCATTGTTGCATATAGCAGTGATTTACCTTTTATACTGCTGTGTAATATTTCATGGTGAGAGTATTACATGGTTTATCCCTTCTATAGTTAATGGGCATCTTGGTCTTTATCTTTTACATTGTAGACCTCTAATCTACCTGAATTCTTATATGTCAAATTTCATGTTTTTCTATGGGGTATCCCGTTGACCCAGGACCATTTGTGCATAAGACTGGCCTTTTCCCACTGCGTGTTGGTGAGCTTTTGTTATAAATCAGGTGGCCATTTGTGTTAGGGATCTCCATTCTCTTCTGTTGGTCTATTATCTGTCGTGTCATTAGCACCTTATTGCAATGACCGAGGCTTTTTCCTTAACGTATTCTTACATCAAGTCTGGCAGAATAACTAGAGTCCTATTTCTTCAGGGATTGTAGGTGCTTAGAATTCTGACACCAGATAAATCAAGTATGCTGAATAAAGATTTCCCATTTTAGGCAAAAATTTATTAGATATTTATTACCCCCACCATTGTCCTGTATAGTTCAGAAAGTGTTGCTACTTTGATGCTATACATGTCCCTAACAACTCTCATGGTTTTTCTTCCCCCCACTCCCCCAGCTAGCCTCCCCCTCCCTTCCCACTCCTGCTGGAAAAAGATGTACTGTCTAAAGTCTCTGATGACGAAAAAAAAAACTATTTAAAGTGAATTATTAATCTTGAGCTTCTAGCATATTCAAAAACGTAATATTTAATTTTAATTTATTTCTGGCTCTTAGTTTTTCCTTTATGTGTTTGAGCATAGTGTTTCTTTCATTTTGGGTGGGGGGCGTTTCCTTTTTTTAACCATGAGCCTCTATTAAATGTAAAAGTTTTCTTAATTATAATATTGGAAAGGGTCTTTTAATTAAAAGAAAAGGTAAGGTTATTCCCTTAAAGAGTACAGATAAAGCTATAGGAAAAAAAAAAGTGATAGGTGGCTTACCAGTGCAGGTTAAAATGAATGAGAGAAGAAATTTTCATTCCAGTTGATTCTTAAATGGCTAACTGCCCAAAATTACTTTTAAAGGTTTAAACATATGCATAGAAATACTTTCCTTTAGGCAGGGGGTAGAAAGTAAGCTGATGCTTGGGCTGGGGTGGGGGGATGTGGTGATGGAGGGAGGTTTGGGAAGCAAAATTCTGGCTCCAAGTTCAGGGAGGTCTTAGTTCTTGAAAGTCATGAGTCAAAACATACTTGTATGGATACATCTTGGACTTAGTCACATGAAAGCCAGTTCCTTCATTTTTCCTTCTAAACATACAGTTATGTAGGAGGAAAGCTATTTCTGTTAATCTTAGAGTCATCATAACATACATTATTACTAAAATAGATATTTTACCCCAACATTCAGTTGAGGGAAAAAGTCAGGGAAGATCTGCATAAAACAGAAATGACATAGGGCGCCTGGGTGGCTCAGTGGGTTAAGCCTCTGCCTTTGGCTCAGGTCATGATCTCAGGGTTCAGGGATCGAGTACCACATTGGGCTCTCTGCTCTGCAGGGAGCCTGCTTCCTCCTCTCTGTCTCTGCCTGCCTCTCTGCCTACTTGTGATCTCTGTCTGTCAAATAAATAAATAAAATCTTTAAAAAAAAAACAAAAACAGAAATGACATAGGTTTTCTGGATGGTTATACAAAATAGTGATTTATCAGTAGTAAGTTATTTATTTATTTTTTAGAAAGAGATTTTATTTATTTGACAGGGAGAGAGCACAAGGAGGGGTGGGGCAGTGAGGGGCAGAGGGAGAAGCTGAGCAGAGAGCCTGACACGGGTCTTGATTCCAGGACCCTGGGATCACAACCTGAGTGGAAGGCAGATGCTTAACCTTCTGAGCCACCCAGGTGCCCTCATAAGTTCTTTATGTAATTATCTTATTGAACATCCCAGTGCTAGGAATAGGTATTATTTTTACCCCTTCCTTTATGGATAAAGAAATCAAAGCTTGGCTAAGAGAGGTTAAAAACTTGCCTAAGATTCTGGCCTTGGGCTCCTGACCTTAGATCTCATGTATTAACTCAGTATGTTTTTGAAGTTCGTGTTCAACTTTTTCGTGTTTTCAGTTTGTCTGTGTTTTTTTTCCAATTTTTTTTGAACAGTAGTTGATGTTAATAGTAATTCTATTTTGTATTTTAATATTTAAATCTTTTAATTAGTAATAATTTGGCATTAGAACTGAAGCTAATGAAAGTAATGAATGAGGCCAACTTCACTGCCAGTTTTGCTCTTCACCAAATGGCAGTCCAGTTCTTCTACATGGCAACAATGCATGGGAGTGTTTTATTTATTACAGACAAACATGGCAGCAGTCTCCTGTTGGGGGAAGCCACCTTTCCAGGGGCTGTGGTGACTTAACACTGTGCTGGGAAAGCAGCCCCTCCCTGTAAGAACATGAGTATTTACAGAGTTTTCTAACAAGTAGCTTGATAAGTAGTTTTGTCTTGAATAATCATTGGTAATTAAAAAGAGAATTGGGGCACCTAGCTGGCTCAATTGGTGGAGCGTGCAACTCTTGACATCTGGGCTATGGGTTTGAGCCCTACACTGGGTGTAGAGCTTACTTCAAAATAATATCTTTAAAAAATAAAATAAAATAAGTAAAAGAGAGAATTAAGTCCAAGTGGATTTCTTATCATCACTTTTGATACAAAATCATCCAAGCACATCTTCCGTGTTCCTTCTCCCTCAACCAGCCAATTCTCAGTGAGCTCTCCTCCTTTGCCCCGCAGAAGCTGCCTCATGAGCGTGGAGCCCGCCATTAGCACCAGGCACCTCCCTTACCAGAGCTTCCAGCTCTTTGGCTTCGACTTCATGGTGGACGAGGAGCTGAAGGTGTGGCTCATTGAGGTCAACGGCGCCCCGGCTTGTGCTCAGTAAGCCTGAACACCACTGTGTTTTAACAAATGGGAAGTTGGTTCCACAGTTGGAATAGCCTGTCTTGGCAAGGTGGTGAGTCTCTCTTCACCTACGTGTCCAAGTGGAGGCTGTTTTAACTGCTGTGAGGGAGGATGGCCTCTGGCAGGACCCTGGCCAGCAGGGGGCTCTGCTGAGTCAGTCCTCCCCAATTTTCCTGGGTGTTGAGCAGGAGTCTGTGCTTAGAGAGTTTCAAACAAAACTAGTAACTGTCAGGAGACCCTCTTGTGTGACCAGTTCAGGGAATGGGGTCCTGTGAGTTGGCGGGGGGGTGCTGATAATTGAGGGGGTTCTCCAGGCAGGAAGTACTCTGAGAAGGCACTGTAGACACAGTGGAGCTAGAATGGGGATGTAAGGGAAGAGTGTCACATGTACCATGGAGCGGAGGGGAGAGCCTTCAGAAGGGGGACATGGCATCCAGTGGGACCACGCCCCGTGCCCGGCTCTGTGGGGGATGCACAGATGAGCAGACCCTGCCCGCGAAAGCCTCATGGAGGCCTTAGAAGTTAGGGGCAGCTGGACATGATCTTCGAAGGCTGCTGGTTCTTCTGAAGATTCACTTTCATCAGGTCAGGACCCTTCATGGTTCCCCACGTCCGCATCTTGGAGGAATTGAGGTGATCGTCCACACGTTCAGGAGAAAGTTCTGGACCTACAAGGGGCATTGTTGACACACAAGCCACTCTTTCATTAGGAGCCAGGCCTTCGCCGCTTGCTCAGTGGCTGTGACATGGCATGTGTGATTCATCTCGTTCGGCAGTCCCTTCAGCTAACCCGTACTCGTTAGTACCCCTAACCTCCCAAGCCCCAGTATGGGGGTCCCAATCATGAGCTGAAACACAGGCCCTGTCCTTGGAAAGACTGTGGGCATGACAAAGGACCAGACAAATACAGATTACAAACTGGGACATGCTTTATCCTTGATCAAGGATGTTAAAGTAGTATCATTGAGCAGAGGGCTGCCGTTGAGAGGTGGTGCTTGGAACTGAGTCGGAAGGAGGAAGGAGAGGTGAGCAGGACAGCTGGAAAACAGCGGCATGCCTCTGTTCCCCTGTCCTTCCAATAAAGGTTCAGTCATCCCTTGTGTCCTGTGCCCTCTCCACCCCGCTTCCTGTCCCATGTCCCTTTGCCTTCCTCATTCAGTGTCAGCCTCTCCCCCCTCTCCCTCTTCGGGGTATGGTTCCCATCAGCGCATGCATATGCAGCAGATTTCCTCAGCAGTTATAAAGAGCCCTCCCTCGAGGCCACGTTCTGCTCCAGTAACTCCTCCTCCCTGCTCCTGTTGTAGCCAGACTTCTGGAATGCAGTGTCTGCTCAGGCTGGCTCCTCTTTCTCTGTCCTCATCCGTGCTGTGGTCCATCCTGGGCTGGATGTCATCCCCTCCACCCCACATAAATGTTCTTTGAAGGTCCCCAGCTAAGTCCATATTGCCAGGTCCAGCGGCCCCTTTCCGTGTGGACATCCTGGACCTCCCAGCAGCATCTGAGGGAGCTGCTGACACCGTGCTGAGATGCTCTTCTGTTGTAGCTTCAGACACACTCTGTAGTGGGAAGCTTTGGCTGAGGAGATGTGGGCATGATTGGCCTCTTGCTCCTCATCAGTGGACCCCAGTCAGCGCCTCAACCCTGGGTGTTTGTTTTCTCTCTCCACTATGCTTTCTCTGAACGTGATCTTAATTCAACTTCATACTTTTAAAGCCACCAGATTACATCACAGCCCAGAGTTCCAGAGCCGTGTGTGCACCTGCCTGCCCACTGTCCTGCGGGGATGTCTGTGAATGTCTCTGAGAGGCACACCCTGCCCCAGACTCGCGCATCTCCGTGAATGCCCACCTCCCCTCCCCACAGAATCTAAGCTGGAATCCTGACCGAGATGCAGCCTCCTCCTTTCCATTACCCTCAGGTTCTGTGCATTGGGAGCTGGTCAGCTCAGCCTCCAGCCTGAGCAGTCCTCTGCTCTCCACCCCCACTGTCCTTGCTCTCCCCCAGGTCCTCTTCCATCACTGTGGATGCTTTTGCAGGAGCCTTCTTTTTTTTTTTTTTTTTTTTTTTAATTGATCAGTTATTTAATTAGGTTCTTTGTAAGAAATTTAGAACACCAATTTGTGAGGGTAAACTCCATTTGTGAGAGAAAACACAGAGCGGAGGTAGCCCTGAAGCTGAGGAACAGCCTTGATTTTTGGCAGAATTTGTGAGTCCACAGCTTTCTGATCAACCTTGCGCTGCTCTGTAATCTCGTATTTCTCTTTCTCAGTGTCGAAGATCTCACCCTCCTGGTGTCTGGGCTTACGCAACTTCTTCTTCTTGAAATAAGCATCAGTGAGATGTTTGGGGATTTTCACGCTGCTGATATCAATTTTGGTAGAAGTGGCAATGACGAATTTTTGGTGTGTTCTACGCAGAGGAACTCGATTGAGGGACAGAGGTCCAGTTACAAGTAGCAAGCCCCTGCTCAGCTGCTTCAGGAAAACTACCCTCTTGCCTCTGTGGCGCCCAGTGAGGATGATCAAAATGGTCCCAGGGGTGATGCTAGCTCGCAGTTTTCTCACATGCTGACTGAAAGGTTTTTTGCCGTGGCTCAACAGCTTTCGAGGCACGTCTTCAGTAGGATAATACCTAGGCATTTTACAAAGTTTAACCACTCGGGTACCACCATTCTTGTCACCACCAACTGGTTTTGTGACGGTAGCAAGAACCTTCTCCTTCTTTTTCTTTTCAACCCTGGATTTAGCTGCCGAATACTTCCTCTTGTACATGGCCTTTCTGGAATACATAGCCGATCGGGAGTACCTGCCAATTCCTCTGACTAGGACAGGGTTTCGGCTGCAGTGGGGCTTCCCCTTCTTCGGGGTTTTAGCCTTCTGGTTACCCTTCTTAGCCTTGCCACCGCCATCAGCCTTCTTGGCTTCAGGTTTCTTCTCTTTAGTATCCGGCTTTTCAGCTTTTTCGCCCGCCATCTTGCAAGATGGGAAAGAGAACTAAGGTTGCAGGAGCCTTCTAACGGGGATCTCCTCTTCTGCTCTTGCCCCAATAAAATCCACTCTCGGTGCGCACTGTTCCTTCTCCCCCTCACATACACACTCTTTCTCTCCTCCTCCTCTCTTTTTTCTTCCCCGCTCCTTTCTGTCTCTCTGGGTCTATCTGTCCTCTCCCTCCTCTTTTCTACCCCATCATCCTCTGTCTGACCTCACTCATTCCCCAGGTGTCACCTATTTGGCACCCCTGGGGAGTCTCTCCTAGGGTCTCCTCAGCCACAGTGAGAAGGTGCTTTCCCTCCAAGTATACCCACCACAGGCAGGCAAGATGGCTCTTACACTCTATGGAAATTGCCCATCTTCCCTGCCAGTGAGAGCAGGAGTTACTGGTCTCTTCACCTGAGACCTTCCCGAAGTATTTGTTAAGGGGCTGCTTGATGCTCGTGCAGCATGTATATGTACCATGGAAGCCAGTTTTAGGAACTTGGTCATGAGATGGAACACCTAGGGCAGGTCCCGGTGAAAAAATATCTATTGACTTTCCACATGCACTTTGATGACCGTCTACAATGATATATATATATATTTTTTTACAATGATATTTTTTAAAACACATTTCAGGAAGCTTTATGCAGAACTCTGCCAGGGCATCGTGGACATAGCCATTTCCAGTGTCTTCCCGCCCCCGGACGTGGAGCCGCAGCACGTCCAGCCAGCGGCATTCATCAAGCTGTGACCGCGGGAGGAGCTCAGAGCTGCCTCAGAAGAAGCACGAGCTCCTGCTCCAGGGGAAGGTGGACTGTCAGGGTGGCTCACTACCAAGCCAGGACTGGAGAAAGAGAGGCAACCGGCAAAGCCGCGACAGAAGGGAGAACACCAGAAGAAAAGGCAGCTTCCCCAAAGAGCGGTGGCTCCGGGGTTCCAGGTGGCACTCTCAGCGCTGCTGTTGAGATGTGAGAACGGGAGCCAGTTGCTCTGAGGGCGGGGAGCCAAATGCTCTTCTAAGGGGAAAAGACAGGGATTTGATTATTTTATGTTCTCATCCTTTAAAAAAATCCAGTTTTTATCCTAAGGCAGCATTGTGAGCAGCGCCTCTCCTCCCTGGGGGTTGAGACTGTTGGACCTTTCGTTGGTGTCTTTCCACCTGCTGCAGCCTTAGTGCCTTAGCTCCATGCCCAGCTGCAACCCTTCTGTCTGGGACACGGATTGGATATTATAGCATCCGGGAGGTTGCCAGTGTGTTCCCTGCCCATCTCTCTCCGCAGCACCCTGCCCGTGGAAGTCTGGACAAGCATGCACCAACAGTGCTCGGGTTTCGTGCTGGGCGCCACCTCACAGCGAGCGAAGGGGGCTTTCCTCGTCATGTTCCTGACGGTGTTTGCTCAGTCACCTGTCAGGGCCGGTGTGGGCTAGGCACCGAAACAGCAAATGCTGCTCTCGATCTGCTCTGTGCATGTTTTAGAAACCAAGCAGCAAGTTTGCCACAAACCCATAAGCATCAAATAAGCATGAGAGAGAAAAAACAAAACAAAACAAAACAAAACACGATGTCTTGCTTTACTTAATAGTTGGGTGTGGTAGGTTTTGGAAATATGATGATCCTCACTTATCTTTGTTTTAACCAGAATTCTACATGCACTTTTGCGAAGTTCCCTTTGGCTCGCTTTTTTTTGTTGTTTTAACTTCTGTAAAAACCCCTCTAGAGGGTAGGAGAAGTAGACAAATACACACACACAAATACACACACACACACACACACACACACCCTACCAGGTGACACTGCCCCAGACACAGGTAGCTCTCCCCCATTTTCTTGCCTTCAAAGCACCTTCTGCAGGAGCTAGAAGGGCACATTTGGTTCCAGGGAAGATTCTCTGCCTGCTTGTGCCTCTGCATGCCAGGCGAGGGTCTAAATGAGTGTTTGTCTGGCCTGAATGGGGGAATCTCCTAAAATGGGAAAGACGTGGTTTCAGAGCTCTATACAGCATCTTGTAAGTCAACAAATGTGTCCTGTTAGGTGTAGTTTCCACTCACTGGATCAAATATTCTGTAGATTTTTCAGGAGACTATATCCCTAGCAGTGGGAAGGACAAGATGCTACTTGCGTTCCAACGTGAGCCCAATAAGCAGGTCCTTCTTAGAATGTACTGGGAACCACAGCAGGCCTCCTGTCCAGTATGTGCTGTGTTCTTCCTTTGTGTATATGTGTGCCCCTTTATTCTTTCTGTGTGGTACCAGACAACAGTTCTGCAGTCAGGGAGACTTTCCTAAAAAGGGGAAAGAGCAATGCCTCCTGAAACACGATGAGATGTGGGAGCTCACGGTGAAGAAAGGATAAGGAGTATTTCATAGATGCAGCAGTGGGTGTAGGACGTGGTAGCATGATGTTGGGGTGAAGGAGAAAGGCCCAACTGGTTCGGCTCTTCTGCAAATTGGAATTACAAAATACTCTGGTTACCCAGAATACAGACAATAAGGTTTGCATCCAGAGTGAAATTAAACAGTCAGCAGGGAAAGTCATTCTTGGAAGGCCAGCACTGTTCGATGAGTGTTTGGGGACTTTGAGCAGATCATGACAAGGTGCACACCCTTCTAGAAAGTGTGAGCTACTCAGTCCTTGGGAAGTCTCTGTGGACTGGTGACGGGGGGAGCATGGAGGTTTTTGTTGTGTTATCACACGTGAATGTAGATCTGTAATGACCTTTTGGACCTAAATTAAAGGGACATTTGAGAGTTTCCTAACTCTCAGTGACAGAGCTAAGAATTTAGATGGTGCAAGTCCATGGATCTTGACAGAATTACTAAGAAACCTCAGTCACTGGCATATATGTGAGGGACGTAAAGCTTTACAAAGAAAATTATGCTTCATTCCTCACATGGTTTCAAATAAATATCTATTTCATGCATTAGTTTTTGATCGGGTGGGATGGTTGGCTCAGAATTGTTCCATACCCTTCCATGATACCTTTGGCACAGATGGTAGTGCCTCGCCTCTCAGTCTTCCTACATGCAGAGTGCGTATGTGTCGCCAGTTGCTAGGGGAGGAGGTGTTCTTTATTTGGAGATGTTAATTCCAATCTTCACACTGTCATTTGACCTCACAGTGTGAGATGAACCCATTGACTTCTCTGTGCCTTAGATTCTTATCTCATGGAAGGGATTGTTGCCTGACCTGGAGACTACCTCAGGGACTTCTAGTGAGGACAGGTGAGGTTAGGAAGACTCAAGAACCTGTGGTACCAAGGTTCTCAGTGCTGACTATATGCTGGAATCACTTGGGGAGCTTTTTTAGAATGTTGGTTTCTACACCCTCCCTTTCTCTTCCACCTCTGACCAATGAAATCAGAACCTGAGGCATCAGCATGCTTTGAGATGCCTTGAACCACTGCTTAAGAAGGAAGGACAAACACACTGCTACCTTAGAATAATCAAGTAAGATCTAGGACTTTCTGAAAAAGTTCCTTTAGGAAGAACAGGCATTTCTTGAGGAATGACCATGTTGGTCAACGCGTTGACCTACGTATTCATGATACAAGCAACTGCTGTCTAAGCATGTTCTCGTTTTGCTTCTTGTCCAGCATTTGTAAACTCAAACATGCTTTCATTTCCTTAAACAGTTTGTGAAGCCTTGACAACAAATGTAAACAGCCAGGAATTTATACATCTGCTAAATATGTGTTAAGGGTATTCGTTACTGAGAGAAAAGCCCCTTCCCTCATTAACTCCTGTGGTAATCATAAACTCGATTTTACCCAGAACATTGAAGTGCCTCAGTGTCTGTATGATTCAGTGGAGCAGGTGCTGGCATGCTTACCTGCGCACTCGCCCTTTCACTAGCACCTCAGGATAATTATCCCAGACTCGGGATATCTGGTAGTGTCAGAAATGTATGGGATCCACAGAATTTGAAAACAGCAGCAAAGCTACAGAGTGTGTTTTTGTTGACAGCCACGGTTGTGTCAAGCAGGTGTGGATCCAGCCCTGTTGTGGGGGTGGGGGACTCTGCTGGGGAAGACAAGGGGCCAGAGTAAGTCCCCTGCAGCATGTGGGTGCTGTGGAGAAAATTCAGTGATACGCTTGTCTCTGATCCTAGATGCAGAATCTGTACCTAAGAGGAAATGACTTCTGAAATAAGGTGATTTTATGAATGTTTGAAATGCCCAGAGCATTAAAGTAATATTTCAAGCGTCTTTGTGCCCTTTGGTTCTATCATCTCATCATGGTGGTTGACTGGCCTAGGATATCACTGGTTATATGAATCCACAGTTCTATTGCTCAGGTAGGCAGACTTTTTCCAGAAAGGGTCAGAGTCGTAAATATTCTAGGCTTTGCAAACCAAACAGGTTCTTTGTTGAATATTATTCTTCTTTTTAACCAACTCTTAAAAACAAACAAACTTGGTTGACAGGCGGTACAAACACAGGCCAGATGTGGCTATTGCTTGCTGACACAGCATGTTACCCAAGACATAAGCCAACAGACTGTCCTTTGAAACTGTAATGTGCTCCTCCAAGGTGAAGCATTGAAATAATTTCTGCTGCCAGAATCTGGTGCATCTCTTCCCTGCCTTGTGTGTTGTCTGAATCGTGCTACAGCTGGTCAGGTGAGACCCATGGTTGTGAGAAAGCATTATGTGTGCTTCAGACATGGGAGGAGGTAGAGGGGCTTCATAAAATGACTCTACAATCAGCGGGAAGACCGTGAAGTTCTAAGAGTTCACTAAGGCCACGTATATGAATATCTGTAAGCGTCACCACCTCAGGCATTTAGTGTCATTTATATAAATTGTAGTTAACTTGTAACTTCCTGTGTGATGAGGCTGAATGCTTTGGACTTCTTTCCCATGTATGGCTGCTTTCGCTCCATAAACATCTTCTGGCACAAAGATTTGTGGCCTTCCACAAATGGAAACCCTGGCGTAAGCACTCCAGACACGTTTCTGATTTGATGTGATACACACCTACCAGACTCGGTGTAGACTGCATGGGCAGGGTGCAGGGACAAGCAGACAGGGACCCAAGCAGGAAACTACTTAGGATCCTGAGAGTGGACAGATTCAAAGCCTTTGGAGGACTTCTCTTCATGGGCTGGTCCTGCTTGCTGTCAGGAGCTGCCCTTTCTCCTTAAAGAACCTGAAGTTACCCATGGCCGCAGAAGTTCAGTGATATTTTAAAGATGTCTCCCTCGAAACATCCCTAAGGGCAAAGGGAAATGAGCCCCTGTCCCAGGGAATCCTTTGCATAGGTTGATTGCTGCAAGCCAAGATTCCTTTTCAAAATTCACATGAAAGGACATCAGTAAGAACAGCAGGGTAAAACCTCTGAAAATCCTCTCTCCTTGAAAGGGATGGGCACACTGGCAAAAACTGTCTAGAAATTAACCAACGGCTTGCAACAATCCAAAAACATTTATTAAAGAAAAACCATTCTACCTTGATTAAGAATAGCAAATTTTGGAATGTTTTAATTCACTCTATTTTCATTCCCCTTTTCTTAGCTCTGTAGTAGCCTTGGAAATGAAAAGCCCCACGATCATGGTAAAAGGCGGGAGTCTAGCAACAATTGGAGGATACAGAGGGGTTTAAGCTCCTCCAAAAAGCCCCATTCCCAGTGAATTGTCATTGACCTGTCTGGCTGTTCCATGTAAGTCCTCATCTCAGGGCTTGTCTTCGGCACTTCTCAAAGTGGGCCTGGTGTAAACAACGTTTTCCCTATGTGAGTTTGTTAAAAATAATCAGCAATTGTTTATCAGCTTCCTGGGATGGCCGTCAAAGTTGGAAGGAACAACAAGCTGACCAAAAAACTTAGGAAAGAACAAAGAAGGCCACACACATGTATAGGGCTGTGTGCAGGCCTGGGGAGACCTGAATTCCTGCCGCTTTTTTTTTTTTTTTTTCCTTTTTAAGTAGGAGCCCAGCACAGGGCTTGAACTCACAACCCTGAGATCAAGACCTGAACTAAGAACAAGAATCAGATACTTAATAGACTGAGCCACCCCAGCACCCTGAATTCCCACAGTTTTTACCTCCATATGACCAGGAGGATCTACACAAGCCTCCCTGGCATGCCCAAGGCGCATGAGCGGACACACACACACACACACACACACACACACACAAACACACACACCCTTGGCAAAGACGGAGACTTACTGGTCCAAGTGTTTAAGGGAATCTGTTCAATCATTAGTTGACCACTAAGCTAAGAGCAGAGACTTCAGTGGCCACACACATCAAAGAATATAAGCTTTACAGAATTATTTCAGGAAAGTCTAATCAATGACAACAATAAATCCTGGAGAGGATAGAGCATCTGGTTTCCAAAGTTGCCCCAACATAGTATTACATTTTTCCAGTTTTCAGCATAAATTATGGGACATGCAAAGAAATAAGAAAGTATGGCCCTTGGAGGGAAAAGGCAATCAGTAGAAACCATCCCTGAGGAAGCCCAGGCATTGGTCTTATTGCACAAAGACTTTAATTCAGCTATTTAAATGTTTAAAGAACTAAAAGAATGATGAGAATGGTGTCACCAGAGAGAATATCATTAAAGAGATATAAATTGTTTATATAATTTATATATCTATGTCTATAAAAATAGAACCAAGTAAGAATTTTGGCTTTTAAAAGTACAGTAATGCAAATGAAAAATTCAGTAGAGGGCGTGTAGGTGGCTCAGTTAGTTAAGAGTCTGCCTTCGGCTCAGGTCATGATCC